AATGGGGAAGAAAGGTGATTTAAGTGACTTTGGATGTGGCATGGTGGTTGGTGCCAGATGATCTGAGTATTTCAGAAACTCAGTGAGCAGCAGTTCTGTGGGTACAAATGCCTTGTTCATGCCAGAGGTCAGAGGAGAATGGCCAGACTGGTTCCAGCTGATAGAAAGGCAACAGTAACTCAAATATCCACTCGTTACAACCGAAGTGGGCAGAAGAGCATCTTTGAAGGCAAAACACGATTAACCTTGAGGCAGATAGGCTACAGCAGCAGAAGACCATAATGGGTTCCACTCCTGTCAGCTAAGAACAGGAAACTGAGGCTACAATTTGCACAGGCTCACCAAAATTGGACAATAGAAGATTGGAAAAGCGTTGCCTGGTCTGATGAGTCTCGAATTCTGCTGCGACATTTGAATGGTAGGGTCAGAATTTGGCATCAACAACATAAAAACATGGATCCTGCCTTGTATCAATGGTTCAGGCTGGTGGTGGTGGTGTAATGGTGTGAGGGATATTTTCTTGGCACACTTTGGATTCATTTGTACCAATTGAACATTGTGTCAACACCACAGCTTACCTAAGTATTGTTGTTGAACAAGTCCATCCCTTTAAGACCACAGTGTACCCAACTTCTGATGGCTCCTTCCAGCAGGATAACACGTTATGTCATAATGCGCGAAACATCTCAGACTGGTTTCTTGAACATGAAACCACTGTACTCAAATGGCCTCCACGGTCACCAGTTCTCAATTCAATAGAGCACCTTTGGGATGTGGTGGAATAGAGCACCTTGGGATATGGACCCAAACCTCTGAGGAATATTTCCTGTACCTTGTTGAATCTATGCCACAAAGGATTAAGGCAGTTCTGAAGGGGGTCCAACCCGGTACTAGTAAGGTGTACCTAATAATGTGACTGTTGAACGTATATACAGTAGTGAAAATTATTTCACTAGATGACTTCATTATTTTATTATGACTTGATTGGGATGTTTTCTAGGGGAGTGTATCTTCATAAAACATAATGAGCATATGACTAGAATAGATAAATATAATAGAGCAAAGATAAAAATGAAATGAACAGTGCTTTATGGTTTTTCTGGAGTGGAGGCGGGAAGTCTACCAGTATTTTATTAAGAATCAAATATAAAATAAAATTGTACAGTCTTCATTGTGTTAATACAGATTAATCTCGAAATTGCAGATCTTGTAATGTAACTATTACATATTTGCACATTGCAATATTTAAGCTTAAGTGATAAAGTATATTGTGCAGTTCTGTGTCAGAGTAACCATGTTTTTACATTCAGGAATATGTTGTGAGGGCATGCACGTAATAAAACACATCCAGAAACCCAGTTTTCCCACCAGTCAGGGACTCACTGACAGAATCTGTGCAAATTAGCATCTCACTTCTATTTCTCCTGTGATTTTTGTGCGTAAATATTTAACACCGGTATGTGTGACTGTATGGCAGAACCTTCATCCAGTCCTTTTCTCAGTTGATTGCAATTATGTCGTGGGACTAATTTGGTTCACATATGTAACCTGCTTTCCCGTAAGATGTGAACCTATTAATGTAGCCTTATACCTCTCGTTCGCACTTTCCAAAAGAAGCTGTGACTGTGCATGCCGTGAAATCACTGATAGATAATTATCCTTTCAAATCTGCGCAGCTTTTCATGTGTGATGGGACTGAAAGCACAGGCTTTTCTCCTCTCCTTTCATTCTCTCACAAGGACCAATTAGCTTGCCATAACTTTAAAAACGATGATGCCTCTGAGTAGTGGGGAGTTGTAATCTTGACTGTTGTAAACGGTTGGAAACATGCTGTAATATGCAGTGGGAGCCTGATGAACTACTTAGGTGTTCATGACCAAGTTTTTATGAAAGTCATTAGTAACTACACTGGAATTAGTATTAAAAAGAAAACATCTTATCCCATCTAAGGCCTGTTGTCTTCCACTAGAGTGCTTTCAAACAAATTAAGCTTTTATCTGTCATTCCAGGGGTGCTATTATTCGATGCTAGCACACGCACACACACACATGTCAAGCATAGAAATTTTCTGTCCTTTTAGCATCAGTTAAAGCCCAACACATGGCCATTGCTGTGCCTTGTACTGTAAGTATTTCACCTCTTAAAAGCTCCAGCGGACAAAGAAGAAGCCCTCTCTGTTAGTTCTGTAGCTCTGGATGGAGCAGAATTCAGCACTAATGGGCAGTGAGGTTTGGAGCCGCATTCAACAGCCGTAGCCATGCTAGACTCAGCCTTCATGTCAGCTTCTTTTAACTCCGCGCTGATTTCGTCTGGCTTTCCGGGCTGAAAGCTTAATAGGTGCTGAGTCATCAGCCTTTGAGAGGTTCATCCCCAGCTCCGTTTCCCCGCTGGCCATTAGAAGGCATTCGCCCCTCGATCCTGCTTTTGACGGATGCCGCTAAACACTGTAGTTGTGTTGTTGAATGCTGCACCCCAGGCACTCGGTTTTGTCAAGTTTTTAATACAGAAATTTTTGTTAATTTAATTTGTCGCTAGTTTAAGGCAGTTTGTTTATTATCTTTGTTTGCTGATTAAAATAGGGGAAACCATCTAAAACACAGTGGGACAATATTTAGAGAATTAACAGCTAAATACTACAAACTAAAACTGCATTAGGCAAGCATTTAGCTAATGCACTACTTGTGTTCAAGGTAAGAAATAAGATGTAGCTAAGGGTAATTACATAAATTTGTGCATAGATTTCCAGCAAAAATGGATATCTAACCCTCAAATTAAAGGTAAAGACTTGTTCCATATGTAAATTGAACCAACAACCTTTTGATTACTAGCCCTGGATAGATAGATAGATAGATAGATAGATAGATAGATAGATAGATAGATAGATAGATAGATAGATAGATAGATAGATAGATAGATAGATAGATAGATAGATAGATAGATAGATAGATAGATAGATAGATAGATAGATAGATAGATAGATAGATAGATAGATAGATAGATAGATTTAATGGTGATTATCATCAGTTATCCTCATTATCTGGTGACACTGAAGCGTGAAATAATGGTTGATGAACATTCAGCTTTGCTGTTACAAGTATAAATTGCATTAAACATGTACATAAACACAATCAAGTCCCACGAGCCTGTGTGCACAAAAGTCCCTATCGGCATATAAAAACAAGCACACACACACACTCGGACTTTCCATTGGTATAATTATTTTGATACTTGATAGACTGTATGTTCTCTCCCTCTACCCCAGTGGTTCACAATTCCAGTCCTCTCCATCACCCCTGCTTCTCCCCGGCCAAGACATTTTATATGTCTTCCTTATTTAACACACCTGATTCAAAACATTAACTTGTTAACAGAGAGATCCATCAACTGATACTTGTGTGTTCCATGTCTCTCCATAATACAGACATACAAAATGTGCTGGACGGGTGGGGGAGTAAGAGGTTTGTGGGGTAGAGGACCGGAAGACTGGACAACCCTCACAGGAAACATTTAGCATTTTAAGATTTTCAAAATAGCTTTTTCTGTGTAGTTTATGAGCGTTTTTTTTAAAGTTTTATATATTTTTTTGGTTCTCACAATGTCAGAAAAAAAAATAATAATAATAATATATATATATATATATATATATATATATATATATATATATATATATATATATATATATATATTAGGGATGTAACGGTATCAGAATTTCACGGTACGGTAATACCTCGGTATGAATGTCACGGTACGGTATTTATTGAATCATTTACAGGAAAAAACAAAACTTATGAAAATACTCCAAAAAAGTGCCAAAAGTGTCAATGACATACAAATTAGCCATCTACAGTATCTGTAAGCTTTGAAACAGGAACTTCAATTTTAATAACAAAAAATTATTAAACCATGTAAAAAAATAAAGTTTCAATTTAGTATTGTTGAAAACTCATCACATTCAACATTTAATCACTCACTCACTTAGATAGAGATGGGTTTAAAGGAAAATTATCATATAACTATAATCTGGTAAAAGCTGGTATCTCTGGGTATTTACAATGTCCCCTGCAACAGAAAAAAAAACCCTCTCATTAGGGACTGAGGTTTCTGGGACAAAGATATGACTTGGCCCATGTTGACAGCAGTGGGTAACGTTGTGCATTGTCTTTCCCCCACTTGAGAAGACAAACCATGAGTAAGATAGAGGTCTCTTTGCGGTACAAGTCAATGTCTGCATCAATCTGAACAGTGTGCTGTGTTTCTGTAGTCCCCATGACTGTTATTAGTCGTATTCCCCAACTTGCAGGCACTTGCACACATAGGGCTCAACCTGTGCAGTGCACATGCCCTTTTTAGTCTCGGATAGAAAATGCCCTTCCAAAACGATCAAAAGTGCCCCCGCGACGCGACACAACCTCCGTCCAGCCCTTCAGTAGGTGCGCGACAACATCGCTCTTGAGTATGCGCGCTCAACCCCCCCTCGGCGCTTTACAATACGCGCGCGACTACACAGCTGATCAGAACGCGCGCGGCAACACAGCTGATCAGATCTCGCGCGACAACACCGCTATTCAGTACGCGCGCGGCGACAACACCCGCTTTAGGTTCGATCATTTCCATCTTTTTTTCATCTCCGCTACTAGCAGCACACTCCATTTCCGCATTACTGGATCCGTAGCGACAACAGACCGCAAAAGATTATGGCCACGCCTGGGCTGATGGGAAATGTAGTTTCAGCTACCTCCCGTTCGCTTCATTCGCCTGAGCAAATTTTCTCAGAAGACCTATAGTTTTACCGAGTCATGCGACTTCGGTAATATCGAAAAAAATTTATATTGCGGTATGACGGTATTTACAATACCGTTACATCCCTAATATATATATATATATATAATTATACCCTCACTCTCAACTGCCAGTTCAAATAATTTTATTTAATTTTTAATTTTATTTTTGAAGTGATATGCCTGATGTTGCTTTTTAACCTTCACTGTTGATTTCCCCAGGGTCCCGTCCACGTTTGGAGGATTCTCCCCCCAGGATAGTGGAGGATCCCTCTGATCTGATCGTGTCAAAGGGTGAGCCGGCCACTCTGAACTGCAAGGCGGAGGGTCGACCCGCTCCCACTGTGCAGTGGTATAAAGATGGCGAGCACGTTGAAACTGATAAAGACGACCCTCGCTCTCACCGCATGCTGCTGCCCAGCGGCTCACTATTCTTCCTGCGCATCGTTCACGGACGCCGGAGCAAACCTGACGAGGGTGTTTACACTTGTGTTGCCCGCAATTACCTCGGAGAGGCCGTTAGCCGGAACGCCTCACTGGAAGTAGCCAGTAAGTACTTTCTTGCACCTGGTTTTGTGATTGGGGCTGGAGCATAGCTGTGCTGAAATAGAAGTAATCTATCCCTCTCAGACATGGCCTGAGGTTTTGTTTGTGGAGTTCTTTGTGGCAGGCTGCTGGTGAGTTTTTGCCTGGTGTGACAGTGTGTCCTCCTGCTGTGTGACTGTGCTTTGGGCCTTTGGCTCAGCCCTAATCCAGCTCGCTGGCACCAGAATGATGCCATATCTAGCTTCTCCGCCAGAAGAAACTGGATTAGCAAAGTTTGTTGATTAGAATTGGAATGCGACTAATTAGAATCCCTAAAGTTTGCTCATTTAATACACAAAGCAATAAAGTGCCGGTGCCTGTTTTCACAGTACCATCTCATTTCCTCTTAAACCCAAAGTATACTTTGGATTTATTTGTGTATACATATGCGTATAGTGCTTATGCAGCAAAATTTGTCACCAGCACAGTGTGTGTGCGTGGAGCCCAATTTTTTTGACCATGAATGCAAGGTAAACGTACATATTTTTCAATAAAGGATGCATTTGTCTGGTTGCTAGATTACAAAAAACAATGAAAGCAAACACAATGGACAAAGCAATTTTATTTTAAAACCTTAGCTGCAAAAAAAATGAAGAGTTTACAAACTGCGGATTGCTTGCTTTTGTCATGTTAGCTCACAAGGTATTGTCTTGCAGTTGTGATTCAAAACATTTGTGTATAAATCCTGTGAACCACATTTGCTTTTGTTAATACTTAAATATAGATTATGGTTATGCGTAATTTAAACTTATGGCAAACAACTCTCATGCCATTAAACACACCCAGAACCATTTATTTCAGATTTTGCTATAATGTAATAAGAACCTTTTGAATTTCCAATGAGACTGAGTTGAAGAAACAAGTAGAAAGACATGTTAATAGTTTATAATTTCATTTATTCATCCATTTTCTTTTCAGTTTAGTCCCTTAATCAGGGGTCGCCACAGCGGAATTAACCGCCAACTCATCCAACACATGTTTTACACAGTGTAAGATTACCCTTCCAGCTCAACATATCACTTTGAAACACCCACACACTCTTGCACACACTCACATACACTACGTCAAATTTAGCTCATTCAAATCACCTATGCAGCATGTCTTTGGACTGTGGGGGAAACCTGGAGCAACCGAAGGAAACCCACGCATCCAACGGGAGAACATGCAAACTCTACACAGAAATGCCAACTGACACAGCTGAGGTAGAACCAGCGACCTTCTTGCTGTGATGCTTAATTCACACAGGGCTTCAGCGTCAATGCTTGACAGAGGGTGTGTCTAAAGTCGGGGCTAACACGATCATCATAGCAGCGTCAGCTAATGAGATTGGTCAGCAATCTGCTACTGTCAGAGCTAGTGTATTTGCATACAGCGATCTGATTGGCTGACGCTTACGTTGGAGCTTGAATAGTTGAGAGAGTCCAAACTTCTACAGCGAGCAACGCCACTTAAGCAACGTCGACTGATCCACAATGCAGTTCCGCAATGCCTGACGTCACCCATTCAAGTGAATGGGAAGCGTTGACGCTGACGCCCAATGAGAATGTGACGTGAAGCGATTGTTCTACCCACTGCGCCACCGTGCTGCCCCAGTTTAGAACTTCTAGAGATAAAAAGTGCAGACAATAGACAATAATAAATTTATGCAAGAAACATGTTAATTCATACTAGAAATATGCTAACAACATGTTAATTTGATTTGCAAAAAGACTGCAAAAACATGCATAAATCTGAAGTGTACACTGTTAAAAGTACAGTACAAACCGTAAAAGTAATTTAAAAATGTTTACTCTAAACTACTGTATTTGATTAATGTATAGTGTTAACACACCAGTGTTTTGAAGCACTAACATCTACACATCATTTCTTTTGTTACACAGGCATACATGTTAACACAGACATGTTAACACAACCATAAATACACACTACCTGACAAAAGTCTTGTCATTGATCCCAGAGCAAAAAATAATAACTTGACTTCTAGTTGATACTTTGGAAAAGTGGCAGAAGGTAGATTTTTCTGATGAATCATCTGTTGAACTGTATCCTAATCATCCAAATACTACAGAAGGAACCAGCATAGACCCAAGATTCTCACAGTCATCAGTCAAGTTTGGTAAAGGTAAAAATCATGGTAGTATGGGGGCATGTGAGAGATCTGCAGAACGGATGGCAACATCAACAGCCCGAGGAATCAACACATTTGTGCTGCCCATTACATTACTAACAACAGGAGAGAGCAAATTCTTCAGTTGGATAGCACTCCTTCTCATACTTCAGCCTAAGATAAAGGAGAAGGCATTGAAGATGAATATCTTGAAGAACTCTGGGAGTCCTGCTGGAACGCTATCTTTGCCATTCTAGATCACGTTTTCAAGTTATTTGAGTCATTGCAGAAATGTATGGATGCATAAAAGAACAATTATCATGCAGGGACTTCTGGGAAAGTCAATTTATGGTTATTCACTATATATATTAAAGAAACTTCCTTACCAGGTTACGAATTTCTACTGAACCATTTCCAGTTTGTTTTTTACCCTTGAAATCACTATAATTTATTACAGTGCAGTTTTTTAACTTTATGCAAACTGCATCTTTTACACTACAAAACTTACACTTCTTGAAGCTCTGTCTATATATAGGGACACATTCTATTCATAAATATAGATTTGACGATGAACTGATATAAACGGCAGAGGGTCAATGTCATATCGAGCCCTCTTTAATGCACCTATGCTGTCTCACCGAAAGAAATGATTAAAGTGTTTCCCCGTTCGAAATGGAATGAGATCTTAAAAATAGACATCCTTAACTGCCGAGGGAGAGTCGAGCCCTTAGAGCCATTACAGACTTTTGCTTACTGTCCCAGAGGACGCCGAGTAGCGGTGCATGCTGTGTGAAAATGATTTGCAATCATGCACTCGGTGGTAGATCTCATCCTGAAGTCTGCATACTTACTCTCCCAAATAGCTGCTCATATTTTTGTCCACCGTATAAATACCTGGAAGGGGAATACCAGCAGACTGTAGCGCAATGTTTTTAAGACCCAAATCTCATTATATCCCACTATTCATTCTAAAAACAAATTGTATTTAGGATTTTTTTTGTATTATTTCCAAACACAAGATTTGCCGAATGATTCTACGTGGCCTTTGAATCCAAGGCATATTAAGTGATTATTATTATTTACCATATAAATGCCTGGAAGGGGAATACCAGCAGACTGTACACTGTTAGACTTTGCCTCAATTTTACAGTTATTTACCACAAAATTCCCCAGTAAAATACCACACACAATCTTTACAGTGCACTACTGTAATATGCACTACATTGTGGGATATTAGGATATCAGGATGTCTGCATATTAGGAATTTGCGGTATTCTACTGTAATCAAAAAGTTCTGTTACTGTAGTTGAAGACAAAAAATGAGAAAAATGCATTCAATTCAGTATTAAACAGTAAAGAATGTGTAAAATGTGTAAAGGGCATTTTACCGTGAAAAACTTTTTTACGGTGAAGAAATTAAATTGCAGTAGGGCCCTGCTACTGTAAAACACATTTACAGGTAAGTTACTGTAAAAGGGGAGTTGCGTTAACTTGCTGGGAACAGTTTTGCCAGTAAGATACAGCAAAAATACAATAAAATTAACACTGTGGTGCAGTGTTTTAAGGACCCAAATCACTAGTCATGTCAAAAGCTCACTAGTCATTCAAAAGCCAAAATGTAGTTAGGATTTCTTTCAAACACAATTTGCTGAACAATGCTACATGCCCTTTAAATCTAAGTCAATATTACAGTTATCTACTGCAAAAACAACCAGTAAAACGCCACATTATTTTTTTACAGTTCACCACTGTAATATGCACTGCATTGTGGGTCATTTTAAAACTTTTACAGTAACTTACTGCATGTTAGGAATTTGCAGTATTCTGCTGTAATCAAAGTAATCAAGTACTGCTACTGTACAAAAAATGAGACCAAATGAGAACAAATGTTGATGAAAACATTTGTTTTTAGAAATGTATTAAAATCAGTAGTGAACTGTAAAGATAAAGGTTTTGTACTGCTAGTGTAAAATGTAAATAAATTACAGTAAAACTACTGTAAAACTGGTCATATTGTAAAATGTAAATGTTTTAAAGGGCATTTTACCATAAAATAAGTTGCGGTTAGGCTATTTTACTGTAAAGAAATTGAATTATGGTAGGGCCCCACTACTGTAAAACACATTTACAGGTAAGTTACTGTAAATGGGCAGTTGCGGTAACTTGCTGGGAACAGTGCTGAGGAATGTTTTAAGACCCAAATCTCATCATGTCTCACTAATCATTCAAAAGCCAAACTGTAATTAGAATTTTTCTCCAAGCACATTTGCTGAATGATGCCACGTGGCCTTTACATCTAAGTCAATAATACAGCTATTTACTTCAAAATGTCCAATAAAATACCACATTTATTCTTGACAGGTTGCTACTCTAATATGCATTGTGGGTCGTTTTAAAACTTTTACAGTAAATTACTGCATATTAGGAATTTGCGGTAGTCTACTGTAATCAAAGTAATCAAGTACTTCTACTGCTACTGTACAAAAATAAGACCATTGATGGAAAAAAAAAATCATTAGTAAATACTGAAAATAAAAGTTTTGTACTGCTAGTGTAAAATGTAAATAAATTACAGTAAAATTACTGTAATTTTTTTTAAACGTGTTAAAGGGCCTTTCGCAAAAAATAGGTTGCATGAGGGCTATTTTACTGTGGAAAAAAATTAAATTGTGGTAGGACTCTTCTTCTGTAAAACACATTTACAGTACTATACTGTACTGTTTCTGTAAAGGGCAGTTGCAGTAACTTGCTGCCAGTAAGTTACCGCAAAAATACAATAAAATATCTAACAATGTAGCGCAGTGTTTTAAGACTCAAATCTCTTTATGTCTCAATATTCTTTCAAAACCAAACTGTATTTAGGATTTCTCTCTAAGCACAAGATTTGCTGAGTGATGCTACGTGGCCTTTAAATCCAAGTCATATAAAAAAGTCATCTAAGCAGAGTTACAAGATGATTTATTATGAACGATTAAAGCCAGAAAGAGAAAGGAATCATTCATGGCTCTCTAGAGTCCGTGTAGATTTGTACTCAGCACTCTTGTGAGTCTCAAATCAGCCTGGATATTAGCTCATGCTGCACAATGCTCGTGAATTCAGCACTCGTCCTTGTAGAAGCTGAGACTCGGGGTCATACACCAGGAGACCTGGCTCACCGCTGGCCGTATCTTCTCCTCAGCAGTGATTAATGTGCTAATTAGAGCTGGACAGTCGCCAGCACGAGCGCGGCATGATGGCGGAGCGGGTGGTTCATGAAGACGGAGGATCCTGAGGGGTACAACAGGTGAAGGCAGAGGCGATCCTTCACACATCCTGCAGCTCAGATTGTAGCAGCAAACCGATTGATGTGAGGAGGGGGAAATGATGGTATACAACATGGGATCAGTCTGTTTGTGATGATAAGTGA